ATCCGAGTGCAGCTTTGTGCTTTGTTATTCTCAATTTCAAATGCATTAAGGTTATAGAAAGATATAAAGTCAAACTCCTACGTCAAATAGTATGATATTCAACAAGGAAGGTAGAATAACTTTGCCATGTTCTTCTTCCTTGGAGTGTTATTATGATTTTCGTTGAAGTTATAAACCATAGGGTCTCATTCTGCGGTTCTTGGCTGCTTCCTAGTGGTCAAGAAAAAGTGTGCCGGTATGAAGTTCTTTTTTCACTTTTTAATTATTATTATTTCTTGGATAACAATTCATTTTGTTGGAAATATATGATGTATAATGTATGAATAATGATGATTATATGCACATGAATGTGATTTGGATTTTTGATAGTAGTTAGGTGAGTAGTGATCCACAGATCCACACACACACACATATATATATATACGTGTGTGTGTGTGTATGTGTGTGTGTGTGTGTGTGTATGTGTGTGTGTGTATGTGTGTGTGTGTGTGTGTGGCTTGTGTGTGTGCATGTAAGCATATATGCATATATGTATGTATGTATCTGTGCGTGAATGTGCATGGAAATAGTAATATATGTGCGTATGTATCTGTAGATGTACGTGAAAACAGCTCTTTGAAATGTTCACAATAACGAGGACGAGTCATGCACTACAAAGCCCTTTTCATCAAACAATGTATGCAACAACAGATTAATAACAATGGCCAGCAAAAGTTGGCCCTTCACCTACAGCTAAGTTCCGCGTCCACATATGTCGCTGTGAATCGGCAGTCTTGAATTTAGAATGCTAATGGTTGTTGTCGATGGTACATGTGGTGTGTTACTCCCTCTCTTCTCCTCTTAGTTCTTGTTTTTCTTAGTCTTTCCATTGGTTCGTGTTCTTTCTTTCTTTCTTTTCTTTCTTTCTTTTCATCTTTCTTTCTTTCTTTCCTTCTTTTCTTTCTTTCCTTCTTTTCTTTCTTTCCTTCTTTTCTTTCTTTCTTTTTATCTTTCTTTTTCCTATTCTCTCTTTTCTCTCTCTCTCTCTCTTCCTCTCTCTCTCTCTCTCTCTCTCTCTCTCTCTCTCTCTCTCTCTCTCTCTCTCTCTCTACTAGTACATTCATAGTGTATTCGTGCTCCGTTTATATCATCCTTCCTCTGGTACATGTATGTCTGTCTGTCAGTATATATATATATATATATATATATATATATATATATATATATATATGTATGTATGTATGTATGTATGTATGTATGTGTGTGTGCGTGTGTGTGTGTGTATGCATATATATATATATGTGCGTGTGTGTGTGTGTGTATGTGTGTGTGTGTGTGTGTAATCACATATGTATACATACATATATGCATACATGATGTCGCTTATTGTCTCTCCAGGTGTTCCACATCTGTCAGGCAGGAGGCAGAATCAACTCCTTCCTTTGCCCCAATGGAACAATCTTCAACCAGCAGTACTTTGTGTGTGACTGGTGGTACAACTTTGACTGTTCCACGGCTGAACAGTTCTATGGTCTAAACGCTCAAATCGGAGTCAGCAATGGTCACAATGGAAAGAATGGTTTTAATGGTAATGGAAATGGTTTCAACGGTAATGGCTTTAATGGAAATGGTAATGGTTTTAACGGAAATGGTAATGGTTTTAATGGAAATGGTAATGGTAACGGTTTCAACGGAAATGGTAATGGTAATGGTTTTAATGGAAACGGCAATGGCTTCAATGGTAATGGAAATGGCAATGGTTTTAACGGAAAACGTTATAATAATGGTAATGGCAACGGCAATGGAAATGGTAATGGAAACGGTAATGGTAATGGCAATGGAAATGGAAACGGGAATGGTAATGGCAATGGAAATGGAAACGGGAATGGTAATGGCAATGGTAATGGAAACGGGAATGGTAACGGCAATGGAAATGGAAACGGATATGGCAATCGTATCAATGGCAACGGAAGAGGATATGGCCGGTGAAAATTGGTAACCCTTCACCATTCATGATGTCCAGACATATCTTTAAAAAAAACAATATTGTTTATAGTACCATGAACTAACTTTACTTCGTCCAAGATTTGTTGCATTGTTTATATAAAAAAAATGTACTAAAACGGGCTCCTAGTCATAATATATGCTCTGTGTTCCTTGGTCAAATTAGCATTTGTTTTCCACTGTCACCTGTTAGCCTCATAATCCAAGAGTTGTTTGTTTGTTAAGTCTGTGTATTCATCCAGATATCTATTTTGAAAGCTAGTCACCTAGACATCGTTTTAAGCTTCGTCATTCGTATTCTTCGTTCAAGACCATGATTTAAACTTCTTTTCAGTTTCATTTCTTAGTCTTCATCTACGTTTTCTTTCTTGAATTGCTTATAGCTTTGTAATAAGTGTCCTTCGAATGCCACCTGTTGTCCATTTTGTCTTCATATGTATGATGTTCAATTTTCCTAACACCGAGGACCTAGTGTGGGAATTACTGTGCGCACATCGGCTGTCGTTTGCTTTAATTT